AAACTAGCCAGGCATGGTAGTACACACCTGTGGTTTCAGCTGAGGCAAGGAGATCACTTGAGCCCAAGAGTTTGAGGTTGCTGTGAGCTGTGACAGCACAGCACTCTACCCAGATTGACAGAGTGAGACTCTGTCTTAAAAAAGAAAGAAAAGAAAAAAAGAAATTGTACCAAAAGAAGTAACAGTTGATTCATTCTTTGTTTATTCTAAGGATTGACTCATCGTTGCAATCCTAATCCAAAGTTTATTAAACTGAAAATAAACTATTATTTTTGTGTTCGACATAAATTCCCACCCAAAAATTTTTTTCCACTATTGACTCTGAAACACTTTTGTTCCAGGCTAAAGGGAATTCTCTTTAGTTGGCCTTTTCTGGTTGTGATTCTGATCCTCTAAGTTCATTTTGATGATCACTTTGTGTTTCCTTTCATCTTAGACTCTTAGTTTTCTGTTTTGCCTAGGTTTTCATAAACATTGATGTAGTTTTCCTTATTAAAGTCTGTAGTCGCTCTTCATGTAAGGAGTGGTTTTAAAACTAATCCTTTCCAGATTAAAGAGAAGGAAGAAGCCCAGCAAGAATACCGAGAAGCTGTCAGCCAGGGCCATGGCGCTTACCTCATGGATCAGGACGCACCGGTATGGCTTGTACTTATCTAGTGCCCAGTATACTTATAGGAAAGGGAAAAGATGTAAAAAGATTTGTAATATGAAATTCATACTAGAGACCAAAATTAACTGACACTACTTTAGCCCTATATTTTCACTGGCTGTGAGCCACACCAGTCAGGCCCATCGGACTTCACACTAATAAAGGAGGCAGTGGTGTCAGTGGTACTAGTACCAGACAAACAGGAAGCACTGAGTCCTCTCACTGGGTACTGAGTTTTCCAGAAATGATGACAAAAAGAAAACATTTGGGGTACACAATTTTCATCTTCTCACAAAAGAGCATTATATATTTCTAATTTTTTCTAGAAGTAAGCTCACCTAGCAATTTATCCACTCTGCACCAGGGAGGCAGGATCTTGAGATAAGTCCAACTCTTGTGCTTTCTGATAATCAGCATTAAGGGGAATGTGATGTGGTCTGGAAGTAGGAACAGCCATCATGTCCCCTAGACTTCTTTTCTTAAATATAAGATGTTCTAAACATGCCTCTGGCAGGTGTTAGATGGTGTGCAGTCAGCGTCTCTCATGCAGATGTTTTCATCGATTGTGCAGATGGGGCCATGTGCTTCAGATTCCACCTGAGGATGACACATTGCCATAGTATTGTGAACACTTAATGTTTGGTGGGAGTGATTCATACACATTTAAGGGATGAATTATTACTTTTGACATATAAGATATCCATTTGCTGGATGGGAATAAGAAATGAAGAGGTGATGATTAAACAGTTAGTAATGCTGGCTCCTGAGTAAACCGTATTTAGAGAGGCCTGGGGTTCACTTGAGAGATTGCAACTTAATAGTATTAGGTTATGGTTATAGGTAAGTTGGTCACCATGTTTCCTCCTCAGTGACACAGTTCCCTGGGAATGTGGTCCACAGAAAGTCTTCACAGAAGATATTACTGGTGGGCAAAGTCTGATCAGAACTATTGCTAACCCAAACCTTTGGGTCTCCCAGAATTTATTTTGCCATCTAGTGACTATAATGTTCTTATACTATATGATATTAAAATATTATATATTATTATATAAAATCAAATATTGCATTATATATTATTTTATATGTATTATGTTTTATATGTTTATAATATAAAATATATGTCATATCATTGTTAGTCCTCCAATAGTTGAGAATATTATCTATATAACATGCAGGCATACACATACATTATATATGTTATACACAGTATAGTAATAGACAAACAGTCCCCACTTAACTATACAGTGGTGCAGCCTATAATTTTTCAACTTTATGATGATATGAAAATGATAACATTGAGTAGAAGCTATACTTGAAAATTTCACACAAACATTGTATTTTCACTTTCAGTATGGTATTCAATAAAGTGCATTAGACATTCATTACTTTATTATGAAATAGGCTTTGTGTTAGATAATTTGCCCAACTCCAGGATAATGTAAGTGTTCTGAGCATGTTTAAGGCAGGCTAGGCTAAGCTCTGATGCTCTATAGGTTAGATGTATGAAATGCAGTTTTGGTTTATATTTTGTACTTGCAATTAGTTTACTGGGACATCACCCATCATAAATAGTGCTGTATATTATATGCAGCATATGTATATAGGTGTTCCTAAGTATCAAAAGATATTATTTTCCACACATACACACACACACACACAAAGTGGTCCTACCTATCTTCTGGCTTCAGACATCCAAAGAGTTGAGGTTCAAATCATTTCTTGCTGGACTGTTATGTAAAGATGCATTCATACTATAAGTTAATGTATCAGAAATGTGGATAGAGTTAAAGAAGTTAAGTGTTGCATGAGTGACACCAAGGAACTCCCTGCAGGCCACTCCCCTTGCTATCTACAGCCCTTCCCAACCCTCCCCAGGCGCATGCCCTCTCTGCCCCCCTCACATACCCATATAGCCCTCCTCCATCGCACCCCGGCTGCAGCCCTCCCTCCATCCATTCCCACCCCCACAGCCCTCCCTGCTCCTCTCTGTCCCCCTCCTTTACCCCAGTTAGCGTCTTTTCTTCCCAGCAGCAGCTTTTTCGGTGCATTGACATTCTCCTTAAACCAGCAGCCTTATGTTTGTTTCCACCACTATCAGTAGATGAGCCCTCCTGTTATTTAAAATAAAATCTCTAAAAAATAAAATAAAATAAAATCTCTGACAAATCACACAGTTTTCTAGCTTTCCTCCCTCCAATTCAAAAGTGGTGGCTTTGCACACAGGACACCCGAGTCAGGCCTGCTGAGTGCCACAAGCCAGCACTCTAGATGTTCCTAGACAATGCTGTGTACTGCTTCTTCCTCAGAGTCAACAATTAAACCGACATTAGTACCTACACCAGATTTTAGCAGTTTAAAAACAACAGCTGGTTCCATGCAGAGCTCACGGTCAAACACTCAGCAAACACCTGTGGTGTGTGGTAAACACACAGGACTGGAGATGTGTCATTAATGTGACCAGCATGATGGTGGCACACTGGGCAAGGGTCAGTTTTAGTTGCCGGGCTAAAGCAACATGTTTGGCTCCGACCCCTTCCCTGGCAGCCCAGGAAATGAAAGGGTTTGCTGCCCTTTCCTCAGCAGCTTGCTGGGGAAAGATCCAGGGAGGGGTATCAAGGGCGAGCCCCATGCATGTCCCCCAGCCCCTGCCCACACCCCTCCTGCCGGAGGTGCTCCCTGTTTTCTGCCCTGCCCAACTTCTGTGGGCCAGCAGAAGCCATGGGTAGGCAAACTCCCCTTGGGCTGGGCTCTTGGGTTTTATAAACTGATTTGCTAGCCACTCTCAGCTGATCAGAATTCATACAGTTCCTCTGTCCCCTCTGTCATCAGAGAGACTTGGTCACTCTGGAATTCAGCTCACTTGGTTGATGAATCAAGGCAAGTTACAATTTTGTAGACTTTCTAGCACCTGATAACGGAAGTGACATTATCTTTTTTTTTTTTTTTTTTTTTTTTTGAGACAGAGCCTCAAGCTGTCCCCCTGGGTAGAGTGCTGTGGCATTACAGCTCACAGCAACCTCCAACTCCTGGGCTCAAGCGAGTCTCCTGCCTCCGCCTCCCAAGTAGCTGGGACCACAGGCGCCCGCCACAACGCCCGGCTATTTTTTGGTTGCAGCCATCATTGTTGTTTGGCGGGTCCGGGCTGGGGATTCGAACCCGCTACCTTAGGTGTACGTGGCTGGCGCCTTAGCCGGTTGAGCTATAGTCGCCGAGCCGGAAGTGACATTATCTTACATCTACCTCCATTCTACCCCATGCTTCCACCCCACACTATTAAGTGGCAGTGTTCCAGATTTTTATACACACACTAGCCCTGTTAAGCACTTGATAAGTACCTCTTCATTAATCAAGGTAGATATCCTTAGTGTCAAAGGTAATAATTTAACCTTTAACTCTAAATTAATCATTAATATTCTATGTTTCTAATCTAAATATACAAAATCGTCAGGATGGCATGGTCAGCTGAAATGGTGGACATAGTTGGAGATAGTTGAGAGGATCTCTGTGTAGTTATCAGAAAAAAATTCATCCAGCCTGTATTTTCTCTGCCCTAGCTAGTCCTAAGGTTCTTGCCTTTTATAGTGATTATCAATATCCCATTAAAAGAAAGCTAAATACTTAAAAAAAAAATAACAAACTTACTATATAAGTAAGAGAATTAAGTGAAGACCACATTTGGGGAAACCTACTCTGGTTCTTCAGCTGCTGATGGAACTAGTTCTGGGTGCTGTGGCGGTCAGGGACGCCACAGGTTCTTCAAGTGAGGGGCTGTGTAGGGGCCACCTGTGCAGCGGAGACCACCCATGAGGGGCCATGGGACAGGGTGTATGAATGACTCTCCCCTGGTTAGCTGCCAACAGGACCTGGCTCCCTGCACGTCCTGTGCACATCACCCTGACCCCACCACTGACCAATGACTCCAGGATTCTCCTTTGGCACCATCAGTATTTTACTGTTTTCTGAGGAAAAATCTGGCAGACTGTAATTCAAGTCATCTAAGTAATATGAGGGATTGTCTAGCATAGAATGCTTTAGAGCTGCAAAGCTAAGCTAAGTCATATGTTTCTATTTCAGGACGTTTTTACTGTAAGTGTTGGGAACTTACCGCCTAAGGCTAAAGTCCTCATCAAAATCACTTATATCACAGAACTCAGCATCCAAGGCACTGCTGCTGTCTTCTTCATGCCCGCTGGAGTGGCGCCCTGGCAACAGGACAAGGCTTTGAATGAAAACCTGCAGGTCCGTATACTTAAGATTTGAAGAAGCATTTTTCTGGGGATTTATACATAGGGGAAAAAATGATCTAAAATAATCTTTTTGATATAAAGTCAATTTTACTAACATCTATACATTTAGACATACTGTGCTCATAAAATGAAAAGAATAAAAGATATAAATGTGCTCAATGAGTATAATATTTTTATTTTGTTCAGTCACTCAGTGTCCATACTGCATGATCATCATGAAGAATTTAAATATGTATAGAGAATGCAAATAAGCCAAAAGAGGAAAATTAAAACCATCCTTAACTCTGTCACCCAGAGATAACCTCTGGGTAATGCTTTATTATATATCCTTCCTCCCAGACTTCTTACTTGGTAGGCACAGTATATATGTAAAATTTGTGTGTGTATATGTGTAAGTACACACACAGAGACATATGGAGATTGAAAATCTCTGTCCAGATAGTCAATTGTATTTTAGTTCCTGGCATTCCATGAGCATTCTGTTTCACTACTTGGAAGGGAAAAGAACTATTTTACTGCTATCAGTTGTGTCTTTGCTGGGGTAATAGTTTAGTGTCACCGTAAAACTTAACAGAATTTTTCTTTTAACAGGATGCAGTAAAGACAATTTGTATAAAGGAAATAGGAACAAAGCAAAGGTTAGTATCTAGTATATATAACCTGTCAATCATTCAGGATATTAGCTTTATGGTTTGAATTTTCATTTAAAATTATTTGAAATAGGCCAGACGTGGTGGCTCATATCTGTAATCCTAGCACTCTGGGAGGCCAAGGTGGGTGGATTGCCAGAGATCACGAGTTCAAGACCAGCCTGTGGGCCCGGTGCCTGTGGCTCAAGTGGCTAAGGTGCCAGCTACATACAAGGTGGTAGGTTTGAATCCAGCCCGGCCCGCCAAACAACAATGACAGGCTGCAACCAAAAAAAAATAGCCAAGCGTTCTGGCAGGCGCCTGTAGTCCTAGCTACTCAGCAGGCTAAGGTAGGAGATTTGCTTGAGCCCAGGAGTTGGAGGTTGCTGTGCGCTGTGATGCCATAGCACTCTACCTAGGGAGACAGCGTGAGGCTCCTGTCTTAAAAAAAAAAAAAAGACCAGCCTGTGCAAGAGTGAGACCCCCCCATCTCTACTAAAAATAGAAAAATTAACCAAGCATGGTAGCAAATGCCTATAGTCCTAGGTACTTGGGAGGTTGAGGCAAGAGGATTGCTTGAGCCTGAGAGTTTGAGGTTGCTGTGAGCTATGATGCTACGGCACTCTACTGGGGACAACAGAGTGAGACTCTGTCTTAAAAAAAAAACTAACAAATAAATAAAATTGTTTGAAACAGGTCAGGTGTGGTGGCTCAAGCACATAATTCTAACACTTTTGGGGGCTGAGGTGGGAAGATCACTTGTGACCAGTCTTATGACCACCAATGCATTATGGTGACATTTTAGTGAGACTCTGTCTCTACCAAAAAAAAATTAAAATTAAAAGTAATAACAAAAAAAGATTATTTGAAATAACTTTAGGTAGAAATTTAAAATAGTGGACTAAGACAACTTTCTCTTCATTTTTGGTAGCTTCTCTTTGACCATGTCTATTGAGATGCCATATGTGATTGAATTCATTTCCAGTGATACACATGAACTGAAACAAAAGGTTAGTAAATTTTTGATTTCTTAAGAGCTTTTATTTGAACACTACTGTACTTTTATTTTATCAAAGAAATACATACATGTGGTTTAAAAGTGAAATAATATTTGACAGCAGCTCTAACAAGAAATAGCACTTGGTCCCACCCATGGTTCTCCCCCACACCAGCTTCTAGAGCTAGTGAACCTCTTGAAATATTTGAACTGTTTCTCTGGCATTGTCAAGTTTTAAATAATAAATTTTTTACTGCTTTTTCTTGATTCATCTGTTTCTTTTTTCTTTTCTTTTCTTTCTTTCTTTTTTTTTTTTTGCAGTTTTTGGGGCTGGGTTTGAACCTACCACCTCCAGCATATGGGGCCAGTGCCTTACTCCTTTGAGCCACAGGTGCCACCCATTCATCTGTTTCTTAAATTATCTTTGGACTTCTGTTATCGTAGGTAAACATCTAGCTCTTGCCCCGCCATCTACTTTACTCTCTATTTTTCTCTCCCCTCATTCTAGGAGCCTTATACATGACAGTCAGTATCTAAGTTATTATGATCTCTTAATTGATGTTTACCATTGAGCCCAGAAATGTATTATGATGACATTTTCTTTTTTAAAAAAGCTTTCTGGCCAGGCACAGTGGCTCACACCTATAATCCTAGCGCGCTGAGAGGCCAAAGTGGGCAGATCTCTTGAGCTCATGAGTTTGAGACCAGCCTGAGCAAGAGCAGGACACTGTCTCTACTAAAAATAATAGATAAACAAATAATTAGCTGGGTATAAATAATTAGTGGGCACCTGTAGGCCTAGCTACTTGGGAGGTGGAGGCAGGAGGATCACTTGAACCCAGGAGTGTGAGATTTCCGTGAGCTAGGCTTACACCATGGCACTCTTGCCTGGGCAACAGAGTGAGACTCTTTCTCAAAAAACACCCCCCAAATTTTCTAGAGTATTTTCTTTTTTAAAAAAAAAGTTGCCTTTTTTCATTTGCATAGTATCGGGACTATTTATTCTCCTATGCACTAACACATTGGTTGAAAGCCCTCTCTCCCAGGCACAATGGCACATGCATATAATCTGAACCTTTTGGTGAGGTGGAACCTGGGTTGGAAATTGCCCTTTCTCAGAACACTGAAGATTGGCGCATGGCCTTCTAACTTCTGGGGTTACTATAAAAAGTTGAGTGATAGTCTTATCCCTGTGTTTTGTGTGTGGTCCATTTTGTTTTTTAAAATTCTGGAAGAAATTTAAATCTTCTTTGTCACTAGTATTCTGAAATTTTATACTAATGTGATGTTCACTTATTGTATGTAACTAGTGGCCTTTAGTTCTGAAAAATTTTATTATATTAAAAAAGATAGGCTCAGCACCCATAGCACAGTAGTTATGGTGCCAGCCGCATATACCAAAGGTGGCAGGTTCGAACCCAGCCCGGGCCAGGTAAGCAACAATGACAACTGCAACAAAAAATAGCTAGGCATTGTGACGGGTACCTATAGTCCCAGCTACTTGGGAGGCTGGAGCAAAAGAATCGCTTGAGCCCAAGAGTTTGAGGTTTCTGTGAGCTGTGATGCCACAGCACTCTACCGAGGGCTTCATAGTGAGACTCTGTAAAATAAAATAAACAAATAAATAAAATAAGATACAAAATAAAGTATAAAATAAAATTTTCTCTTTTTCCTTTTTGCAGTGCCTTTCAATCAGGTGTCTCCTGGAGCCAGCCCCTTGTTTTCTTGGTTTTTTCTTCTATTGTCCATTTAATGATCTTTTTGTTCTATTTTCTAGGTGTTTTCATTTTTTTGAAACAGAATCTCACTTTGTCTTCCCAGGTAGAGTGCTGTGGTGTCACAGCTCACAGCAACCTCAAACTCTTGGGTTCAAGCGATTCTCTTGTCTCAGCCTCCCAAGTAGCTGGGAATATAGGCGCCCACCACAACGCCTGGCTATTTTTTAGAGAGGGGGTCTCACTCTTGCCTAGGCCAGTCTCGAACCTGTTAGCTCAGGCAATCCACCCACCTCAGCCTCCCAGAGTGCTAGGATCACAGGCATGAACCACTGTGCCTAGCCCTCAGTATTTTCTTTTTCAATTCCAACCATTCTCTTGAAATTTTTATTTTGCTTCTCCTATGTTTTGTCAGAGGTCTTTTCTGTTCTGTGAGTGTTCCTTTTTCTTAATAGCATCTTTGTGTGTTTCATGGATACCTCATCCTCTCCTGTCTCTCTGGAAACATTCTTCTGTTCTCTGTGTTGTATTTCCTCTCAGTTCCTTTTTTTTTTTTTTTTAATTTCTGGCTTTTTGTTTATTCTTTTAATCTCCATATTAGAAGCTTTCCCTCAAATGTCTGGGTGACCCTCTCCAGATTCATTTTTAAGACTGAAACACATGGCCAGGTGCAGTGGCCCACACTTAGAATCCTAGCACTCTGGGAGGCCAAAGCAGATGGATTACTTGAGCTCAGGGGTTTGAGACTAGCCTGAGCAAGAGAGAGACCCTGTCTCTACTAAAAATAGAAAAATTAGCTAGGCATGGTAGCAAGTGCCTGCAGTTCCACGTACTCAGGAGGCTGAGGCAAGGGGATCTCTTGAGCCCAGGAATTTGAGGTTGCTGTGAGCCAAGATGCCACGGCATGGTCTCAAAAAAAAAAAAAAAAAAGAAAGACTGAGACAGGAAAAAGTCAGTGAGAAGTCCTGGGCTGTTCATAGAATATGACAGATGGGCAGTTCAGGGCCCATGTTTTTGATGCCAACTTACACTTTATTCCTTTAAAGCAGTGGTTTTCAACCTTCTGAATGCTGCACCCCTTTAATACAGTTCCTGCGGGTCGTGACAGGAACACCCTAAAGGAAGCAGCCCTGTGCGCCTACGCTCCTGTGTTTCTGTGCTCCATATACCTCAAGTTCCCTCGTCTGGATTCTGTTTGGCTGTATTTCTTTAAATAATGAATCTCCAATTTCCTTTAGTGCAGTGGTTCTCAACCTTCCTAATGCTGCAGCCCTTTAATACAGTTCCTGTGGGTTGCGACCCACAGGTTGAGAACCGCTGCTTAAGTGAAAGAACAGGAGGTAAACAGTGCCAGCTGCTTGGCAGCTTAGTGCAGTCTGTCGCTGGTCCCATGCCCTCACAGGACCTGGCGAGCCTTCTTCCCACGCTGCTGCAGCACTACTGAGCCTACCCCTCTAGCTGTCTCTATAGGAGCCGGCTAAATCATTTCCCATACCTCTATCAGCTTTCCATCTCCTAAAATTTGTTGACATCTCTCATGTGCTATTGTCTTTGTTCTTGTTCTCCATATCTTTATGGGTTCATAAACTTTTATTGCTTCCCTTTCATTTTAGGGAAGTTTAGCATTTTGTTCGTGGGTGTAGATAAACGCATGTGTCTAATCCCTCCTAAACAAGGAGTCCGTTATGTCACTTAACTTTGACCATACAACAGTTCCAAAACGTTATGACTTAGAAAAACAAGCATTTCCTATTCTCACAGTTCTGTCAGTCAACAGGCTAGTGCTAGGCTGAATTGCCTGCATGGGATGAGATGGTCTAGGACAGCCTCAGTCACATGTGGCTGCTGGCCTGGCTTCATTGGGGTTGGTGGCCACATCTCCCATCCACAGGTTGGCTAAAGTTCATTAGTATAGTGGCAGAAGAGTCCCCAACCCCATTTCATAGACACTTTTCAAGCCCTTACTTATATCACATCTGCCAATATCCCATTAGCCAAAGCAAGTCAAATGGCCAGCTGCAGATTCAAGGGCAGAAATACAAACACTACCTCTGGATGGAGGGAGCTTCAGAGTTATATTGCAAAGGCATGAGCAGACAGGAATGGAGAGACTTTCTGTACAATCTCACATTGTCTTCATCATTGTAAACGTTTTCAAAACGTTTTAATTTATAAAAATATAATTTATTTGTAATTTGTAAATAAGGTATAATTCTAAGATTGCCGTTGAATTTTCTATTTTACTATTCTAGGTTTTGATGTCTGGTGTGCTATGTTGTTATAACAGATAAGTCTATTTGAATACACAGATCAATAATCTTTGAATCTGGGGTTTGATATTGTTTTAAACTTACATAAATTTGACTGTGTAAATTGACCTTACAATTTCAGAAAGGTAACCGATAAGATCAAGATTTTACTTCTAAAACCTACATTTCACAATTTTGGAATTTATTATTATACCGCATTGCTGATTCTTAATAGAATTATATAAATTCCACAAGGGTCGCTACTTGACAGGTAGGTGCAAACTGATAAAAGGGAAACATTCCTTTATTTACCCTGTTATGGTGGTTTGTCTTGCAGCGCACAGACTGCAAAGCTGTAATCAGCACCGTGGAAGGCAGCTCTTTAGACAGTGGCGGATTTTCTCTTCACATCGGTTTGTCTGATGCCTATCTCCCAAGAATGTGGGTTGAGAAACATCCAGAAAAAGAAAGTGAGGTATGTGTCTTCTTACTTAGAAGTAGGAAACACTGGGAGGCCAGTGGCAGGTGGATTGCTTGAGCCTTGGAGTTTGAGACCACCTTGAGCAAGAGTGACACCCTGTCTCTACTAAAAATAGAAAATATTAGCCCAGTATTATGGTGGGGCCTGTAGTCCCAGCTACTTGGGAGGCTGAGGCAGGAGGATCACTTGAACTCAGCAGTTTGAGGTTCAACTGAGCACTACACTCAACCTGGGGCTATAGACTGTCTCAAAAAAAAAAGTAGAGGACATTAATGAAAAAAATATTTTAAAATAAGTAAGTTGTTTACATTTGGAAATTACTGATTGTCCTGAAAAACTCACATTACAAAATGAACTCCCATACCCCAAGATTCTATAAATGCAAACACACTGTCAAACATGACAGTATTTCTGAGTTGTCAACCAAAATCCACACATTCCCTATTTCCCTGTAAAGATTGTCATTTGTACCTCAGTCTCCATTACAAAGAATAATTGCTATCAGACATTGCCTTGGGTAGTCTGTATACCTTCTATAATTTTTAAATATTGATGCTGGAGAAACAAATAAAAAATTGTTTATGTCTGCCCTAAGACCATTTTGTGCGGCTATGACAAACAATCACTTTGAAAGCTAAACTAAAATTCAAAACTTATATGATAGTGGTTGTACCTGAAGTATAGGTTAATTAATAAAACTAAAGGTGTGTGGGTGCATTTTATTCTATATACTATAGAATGTGTGTGTGAGAAAGAGACACATTTGTCCTAAAGACAGTGTTGATGCCATTTGTCCTACAGACAGTGTCAATGCCATATGATTTTTGAGATATTAATTCTATATTCTTGATTTCTGTGGAGTTACATCGTACATGTTAGAAATTACAGCTCTAATGTGACACTTTTGACTTGAACTCTAGTAGGCCATCTCATTGTTGAACAAGTCTTATTTTGTTTTTATAGCATTAGTTCACCTCATTAGAAAGTTTTAGAATTTTACAAGTAGAACATTTTCAGTTTAAGTTATAAGAAGCTCCAATCCAACCCCTTTTTTCTCCCTCAGGCTTGCATGCTTGTCTTTCAACCCAAACTTGATGTCAGCCTCCCTGACCTCACTGACAAGAGTGAAGTGATTATTTGTCTGGACTGTTCCAATTCCATGGAGGGTGTGACATTCTTACAAGCCAAGCAAATCGCCTTATATGCGCTATCCTTGGTGGGAGAGATGCAAAAAGTAAACATCATCCAGTTTGGCACAGGTGAGTGGGTTTGGCTCTGGTCCTGTGTGTTCTTCCTCCCTGCGTGAACACAGTGAGCAGAAGCAATGACTGCCACTGCCAGACCTCGCCTGTGGAGAGAGAGGTTGCCTGATATGAAGCTAAAGTGAGTAAGAACTCTAGAGCTAGATCCCTGGGTCCGGAACTTGGCTGTAGCACTCACAAGTTCTATGTGTCTGTGTCACCTTGGATGTGCTACTTGAACTTACGATGCCTCAGTTTCCTCATTTGTTATCCAACAATAATTGTCCCTAACTTGTAGTGTTATTATGAGGCTTGACCTAATGTATGGAAAGGATTTTATAAAAATCTCACCTTCCTAGTAGGTGAGACATAAATATTATTATTGTTATTGTTATCAACTGAACCAAACGCAGGACCCTTAGTCTGTTGAGAAGGAAGGTCCCAAAGCTAAGACCAGAACATGTGCAATCAGCATGCTTATAGAAAATCTGTAAGGAATGGTCTTAGGGCATGTCAGTTCAGCACTGTTGGAAGGTAAGTAATGCCTTCCCCCAAGTGGAGGCCCGGGGACATCTTAGGTACCAGAAGGTGGCACTTCAGGGAAGAGAGAAGGAACATAGTGTAGAATGCTGGGACAACCCTGTCTCCTTGATTCTAATGTTCTGTGCCACCCAGCAGAATGCCTAGCCCCCTTGCAACAGAGCTGGGTCTCCTGTTACTAGGGCAGAGGTCAAATAAGCACAGGGAATGCAAGAGGCATGGATGGAGACCGTTCCCTGCTGGGGCCAAGCAGCCTGTGCTATGGAGATGCCCCTGCACCTTGCTTGGCACAGTGATCTGCTGCAGAGCAGAGGCCTAAACATGGAATTTCACTCAGAGCGTTTTGTGTCAGAAAGTGCAAAGTCTGATTGCTCTACAGTTATTATTGAGGGGAATACTGTGGTGAATTTCTTATATGGTAAAGTTTTCAAACATGGTTTTCTAGAAAGGAAGGCATGCACATAAATATGTAGCATTCTTTACCAGGGCAGTGGGTTGAAGTAGAACTATTGTTTGTTATAAGAGTGGTCAAACCAGTGAATATTTGATGCCAGCATCTCATGTCAATCTAATCACACAGGTTACAAGGAGTTATTTTCATATCCTAAGTACATCACAAGCAGTAATGTGCCAACAGAGTTCATTATGGTAAGTACGCAAGGCTTCCTTGGGCTTCTGGGTCTTTTTTCCAATCACACTTTAGTGGTACCATCCAGGCCTCCTCCCCTGAGGCCTCCATCAGAGCACCCCTGGTCCTTCAGTGTTTGTATGTTGGTGATTTCTTTATTTCATTAATAAAAGTGGTATGAATTCATTAAGGAAAAATAGAAATTATAAAGAGTAGAACCAAAAAATATCACCATGGTTCCGAACTAATGTTAACGACTTTGGAAAATTATCATTTGTCCTTTCTTTTCTTTCTCTTAAATTAGAGCCAGCTGGCTATAATCCCAGCACTCTGTAGACTGCTTGAGCTCAGGAGTTGGAGACCAGCCTGAGCAGGAGCGAGACCTTGTCTCACCTAAAAATAGAAAAATTAGCCTGTAGTCCCAGTAACTGGGAAGGCTGAGGCAGGTGGATCACCTAGCCCAAGAGTTTGAAGTTACTGTGAACACTTTACCTGGCGGTGACAGAATGAGCCATTGTCTTAAAAAAAAAAAAATTAGAGAATGACCAGTCACTTTGTCCCAGCTGGCAAAGCTGGGGGTGCTCTGATGAGATATTTATGGATATAATAGTTCTCTGGAAACTGTAAAAAGTCAAATAAGTGCCAAGTGATAATATTATAGTGACATGAAATAAGCTATTCCACAAATGTATAATTACAGGAAAATGATATGTTCTTTAAACCCTCTTTGGGAGACTTAAATGATTATGAAAAATGATAAATATACCTTAAAAAGCAGTACATAATATTTCACTTCATTTCTTCTAGTCTGCCACACCTACCATGGGGAACACAGACTTCTGGAAAACGCTGCGATATCTAGGTTTATTGTACCCTTCCCAAGGGTCACGGAACATTCTCCTTGTATCTGATGGGCATCTCCAGAATGAGAGGCTGACGGTGCAACTTGTGAAGAGAAGCCTCCCCCACACCAGGTTGTTCACCTGCGGTGTTGGGTGAGTCCCAAGAGAGCTGGTCATTGGTCAAGACCCAGGTGAAAAGATAGCCTGCAGGGAGGTCTGTTTGCCTAGATACACATATAGTGTAGCTGCTACAGGGCGAGTCTCTGGGATCTGGGCTCCAGGCCAGATGCCTAAATCTCACACCACATGGGTTACTCATTAGCTGTGACCTTGGACAAGTGGCTCAACCTCTCACCTGAGAAAAGAAGACAATAACGCAAACACCTGCCTCATCAGGGTTAGGGTTAAGTGACCCTGATGACCCTGTGAGGATTAAGTGAGCTCATGTATAGAAAGTGCTCAAAACAGAGCTGACACACAATAAGCGCCAAGTCAGTGTCAGATGCTATTATGTTACATAAAGACCCAAATTTCCAGCCTTCCCTGAGCAACCTGGACTGGGGCTGGGGCTGTGGCCTTGCACCCCTCCAAGTGGCTCCCTCCTCACACCTCTTTTCTGGCTGCCTGAACATTTGCACTCTCAAACTCTCTAGTGTGGATAGACTCTTTCCCCGGGGGCCAAACCCCTGGATTGTTGGAATTTCTCCTCCCCAATTAAAGGTAGGCCTTTGCTTGCACTAGGCGTTGGGCATGTGTATAAGGAGCACACCCCACAAAGGGGCTATTCTTCCTGCCTTCCCTCCATGGGGACACGGCAGCAGGTGTTCACCAGGTGTCTCTACTCTGAGGCACAGCACAGGGAGGCCTCCGTCAACACATTGGTGGGGCCAGGCCCAGCCTGTGCTGTAATTGTCCTGCCTGAGATGAGATCCAGAGCAGAAGACCCCAGCGCCCCTCGCTGGTGTACCCCAGGCCACACCTGTCTGCCCCAAAGTCTCATTCCTTCTGCCCCCTGTCACTCCCAGCTCCACATTCTATAGTCCTTAGTGGGAGTCTAACAGGGCATCACACACCAACCAGGAAACTGTCCAGCTGGTGCAGCTCCCTCAGGAGGGTTCCCATTGGGACTTTCTAGCTGAGGGTGTGGACGCAGGCAACAGTGGTACCACCTCTCCCTGCCACAGGAGCCAGCACCTGCTCAGGCCTTTTTTCCACTCTCTTCATCCTCCTTCCTTTCTCAGGGCCTGGGACAGAGATGGGGTTTTCCCAAGAGCCTGGGAGGAAATAAGGGGGTGTGATGGTGAATCCAACCAGGTAGGCAGTTGGAGAGCCTGAGGTCTCCAAGAATGCAGGATTCTTTCTGCCATCTCCCTAGTATAGGGACTGAAAAATTCCTACCAGCCTTTACTGATCTACAAAAGGCAAATAAGCCTGGCCTCAAAGATTTTCTAGTCAATGTTATGATCATAAAAATCTAGTGTTTATTACTAGGCTAAAGTAAATTTCAGAAACAATTTCATAAGTTCTGTCTCTGAAAAATAATTGATCATTTCTGGCTCGTCGCCTATGGCTCAAGTGGCTAAGGCGCCAGCCACATACACCTAAGGTGGTGGGTTTGAATCCAGCCCAGGCCCGCCAAACAACAATGATGGCTGCTACCAAAAAAAATAACCAGGCGTTGTGGCGGGTGCCTGTGGTCCCAACTACTTGGGAGGCTGAGGCAGGAGACTTGCTTGAGCCCAGGAGTTGGAGGTTGCTGTGAGCTGTGATGCCACAGCACTCTACCCAGGGGGACAGCTTGAGGCTCCGTCTCAAAAAATAATAATAATAATAATTGATCATTTCTTTAATATCCAGAGGAACCCCTCTAAGAAAGAAGTTCTTAAAAGTTGTAGAATTATTACTGAGAGGAACATAATAGGACACTTATCATGAAAATATCGAAAATGTTCTTTGCTACAGTGAGTTACTTCTTGATACCTTTTGCTATGTAGATATGTATGAAATTTTAAGAGGTAAAGTTTTAACTCTTTTGCCGGTTCTTGGCCTTTAGGATCAGATTCAAGTAACTTTGATATTTATTGAAAGTAGGTTGATATCTTTATCAGCATTCTGATACCTTTTGGGCTTACTTTTTGTAAGAACCATCTATCTAATCCCTTTGGTAAAATAGAGGTCAAGAATTTTGAAAAAACTATTGTGAAAGATAAAGACAAGTTTTTGGACATACGGGAGCTAAAATTAGACAAACCTTTAAAGGATTCCTACTGTTTTCATTTCATCTCTTTAACCTCAGCTGCAGAAGAGTAAATTTTTCTTCAAGTAATGTGTCTCTCCTATTTAGATTTATGCTTTCTCAGCTTTGTTAACATGTACTTCAAAAAATATTATCTAAAATGTCTTGAACATTAACACATGTGAAATGTGGTCAGTTCTACAGCAAATCGTCATGTCTTAAGGACTTTGTCCCAGTGTGGTGCCGGAGTGTTTGAACATTTTAACACAAAATCCAAACATAGTTGGAAAAAACAGGTAGGATTTTTAAAAACATGTCTAATTTTATGTGTACTATTTTCTTACAAGTCTAAGTGATAACTTCTGTGTGTTCTCAGATGGACAGGGGAACTATAAAGAGACAAAAGCCACCAAAGCTGTGAGCCCCTGCCCTCAGCTACCACAAATGTGGCATCTAGCAGGAACACAGCAAATATGTACTTAATTGAGTCATTCTCCTAGCTAATGTTAAAAGTTTGATTTCTGCCTTATAAGGTGTCATTAATTTTTTAAAATGAAGTATTATACATGTGTTGTTGGGATTAATTTTTATAATAAAATTGACCATTTTAAGTGTATATATCAGTGCAGTAGCATTAAACATTCACAGTGTCGTACGACCATCACCACTGTCTAATTCTAAATATCTTCGACATCCCAAATAGAAACTCTGTCTCTGTTGTAGAATAACTCTCCATTTTACTCCTCCTGGCCCCTGATAACATCTGTTCTACTTTTTATCCCAATCTGACTACTCTCCATACTTCAAATAAATAGAATCATATAGCATTTGTCTTTTTATGACTGCCCTATGTAACTTGGCATAAGGTGTTCAAAGTTCATCTGTGTTGTAGCATGTGTCAGAATTTCCTTCCTTTTTAAAGCCAAATAGGCCATTGATTGTATCGATGTTCCACACTGAAATTTTTTTCACTCATCCATTGGTCAGTGAGGGACATCTAGGTTATTTCTACCTTTGGGGTGTTGTGGTAATCCTGCTGTGGACATGGGTGCACAAGCATCTGTTTGAAGCCCCAGTTTCAATTACTTTGAATATATTCCTGGAAGTTGGATTGATTGCTGGTTATTCATTCTGTGTTTAGTTATTTGAGGAAACACTGTACCATCTTCCACAGCGGTGCCATTTTACCTTCCCACCAGCCTGAGGGTTCCAGTTTCTTCACATGCTCAACAACACCCATTATTTTGCGGGGTTTTTTTTTTAAATAATAGCCATCCTAATATTTGTGCTTATATACATCATTGTAGTTTTCATTTTCAGTTCCCTGATGACTAGTAATGGTGAGCATCTGTTCACATGCTTATTGGCCAGCTGTATATCTTCTCTGGGGAAATGTCTATTCAAGTCCTTTGTAGGATTAATTTTTGTACCTGGAATCTACTCATACCAAAGTTATATATCGGATGCTTTGTAAATTCACATGATGTGACAATGGTATTATTAAAAATTCTATTTAAAATCTTTTTGGAAAAGTACCCTGTAGCAAGAAGGAGGAAAGAAATCAAAGAGCTCCCAAATCCCCAAAGGATAGAGTATAAACTTTGTTTTATGTTAAGTAGCTTTTCTGGATATAATACTAAAAGAGAAACAATTGCTTTTTTATAAATAGATAGAAGACCAGATGAGCAGGTTGCATTCTCCCAGTTGTCATTCTGTCTCCGTTAAATGGCAGCAACTTAGTGCAGATGCACTGGAGCCGCTGCAGGCCCCAGCCCAGGTTCCATCCTTGTTCCACGGCGACCGGCTCCTTGTCTATGGGTTTATTCCTCACTGTATGCAGGTAGGAAGGCACAGTCTGTTACCCTGCTGGAAGATCAGTAGATCAATCTATTTTGCTAATGACGTTATTTTCCCTTTTCTCTTCCTTCTCCTTCTTACTGGTAGATGTTATGAGAACATAGGTGGTGGTTAGCCAAGGCCAAGCAGGGTGGGGGAGGCTTCTAACTTCCATGAAAATGAGAGAGGAAATCACTGAAATAATTGCGATTAAACTAAACAAGCCATTGTGGAGTAGAAAAGCTAATGAGGGATTAATTTTTCCCCCTGTTTCAGGCAACTCTGTGTGCACTAATTCAAGAGAAAGAATTTCATACAATGGTGTCAACTACTGAGCTTCAGAAGACAACGGGAACTGTAAGACTCAAAACTTAAACGAGGGACCATTGTTTGAAAGTTATGGTTTTAAATTTCTGTATATACTGTCCATGCACTCCCTTAGTTGTTGTTTTCTTGGGTTGACATTTCAACACACAATATAGATGTGGGAATCTGTACAAATGGGGACACTTTCCTTTAGTCTCTTATGTGGCAGTTTCTTACTTGAGGACTTAAGGGTCTGAGTGGACATCGGTGGGTATGAATGACTGCAATTTAATATGGCTTTCATGCGTGAAAAACTTTCATGGAGGTTCTCAAAGATCTTCACGACTCAGTAAAACTTAAGTGCCACTGGTCTACCTGACATTTAAAAATATTAATCATTAGCTGGGTGTGATGACACATGTCTGTAGTCCCAGGTGCTTAAGAGGCTGCAGCAGGAGTGTAGCTTGAGCCCAGGAATTTGAGGCCACCCTGAGCAACATATCAAGATCTTGTCTGTAAGGGAAAAAAAGTATTAATTATAACACTACTAGACTAAGAGTAAACCATATCTATATTAAGGATGTGTTTGTTTATGACATTTCTAGATTAAAAGCAAATGAATTATGAAAGAGGAAACTCCTGTTTCTTCTAGACTTCACAATGTTTCTGATTCAGATGTGGGTGGTTTCCTCCACACTGACCAATTCTCCAACACCAGTTGTATGTTCTACAATTTTTTTTTTTCAAGAGATAGGGTCTCCTTCTATCACCCAGGCTAGAGTACAGTGGTGTGATCATGGCTTACTATAATCTCAACTTCTGGGCTCAAATAATCTTCCCATCTCAGCCTCCCAAGTAACTGGGACAAAGCGGGACAACAGATGCACACCACTACACCCACCTAATTTTTCTATTTTTTGTAGGGATGGAGTCTCACGTATCGCCCAAGCTGGTCTCAACTTCTTAGGCTTAAGCCATCCTCTTGCCTCTGCCTCCCAAAAATGCTAGGATTACGAGAGTGAGCCAATGCACTCAGCCTGTCCTATAATTTAGTTCAATTCTGACACTAGCTGCCTAGAGTTGGCGTAGAACCCTCATGGTAAGGGTTCAGCCCTGTAAGACTGCCTCCCACTTGAGACAGTCTCAAGTTGTGAGTCACCAAGTTACTCACACTTCTCTCTGACTTGGCTTAAGGGTCCCATGACCCTACAGAGGTTCAGTATTTTGTTATAACAGCTGAGAGAACTCAGGACAATAGTTTCCTCTCTATTGCTGATATATTACAAAGGACTTTTTAAAGGGTACAAATGAACGTCCAGATGAAGAGGCACATAGGTGAGGTCTGAAAGAGGCCCAAGCACAGGAGATTCTGTTCTGTGTGGAGCTGGCGTACACCACCCACCTGGCACGTGGATGCCAACCAGAAGCTCCCTGAATTCCTTCAGTTGGAGTTTTTAATGTGGGCTTCATTAGAAAGGCCTAATTAATTAAATCTTTGGCCTTAGATGATTAACTCTCCCTTCCCTGAAGCTTGGGGGTGGGTGGAGAGTTCCAACCCTCTCATCACATGGTTGGTTCCTCTACAACCAGCCTACACCCTGGAGACTTTCCCAAAGTCACTTTGTTGACATAAACTCAGGTGTGCTTGATAGGGGCTTGTTACAAATAACACATAGGTATATTTCTTATTATATCTGTAGGAAAGTTCATACTTCCCCTCTGAAAATTCATTATTTGAATCTATAAAATAAACTGACAATAGACAGATTAACAGGAGAAAAATATGCAAATGTATTTATCTGCACAGGAGTCACGTGAGACTAAAAGTAGGGCCAGATGACTGAAGAGACAGGACTCTGGCACCCATGGGGACAGGGAAGTGGTTTATGGGAAGGTGTGGGAAGGACAATAGGGTGAGCAAAGGCTGTCTTGTTATGAAGATGAAGTCTGCCAGGCAGCAGCCCTCAGAAAGAACGGAAGGCAGCCTGTCATGACAGTGTCTCGGTCCCATCTTCAAAGTGTCAGATTTTAGCCTCCTTTTCCTGCAAGTTTATCTTTCCTAGATTGGGAAGAGGCATATCATAAGTTCTCAGAGAAAGCCTGTTTGCATCTCCTACTTACTTCACTGATGTAGGTTTCCTCTGCAGATGCAACTCTCCCTACAGAAGGACAGCCTTGCAGAGCTATTCCCGTGTCTGCAGCCCCACTGAATAGCCATCTCGAGATGTGCCAAGGAAATACATTTTGAGGCAGCATATTTTGGTTCCCCACATATCACAGATGTCACAAATATTTGCAGTATTTGCTTTTGAATCCACTATAATTTAACCTTGAAAACTAATCTACATACGCCAGTTTGTTATTCAGAGTATTTATATAACCAGATGCACCATTTCCCAGACATTGCTGGTTGTTTTTTTAAATAAAATGTAGCTTACTTTTGGAACTAAGTCAATATGATTGACTTAATACTTGCCAGTGACTTATGTGTACGACTTAAAGGAAGCAGTATATTGCCTTAAAAATCGGATCTGGAGGAAATAAAGTAAAGGATTTTACCAGAGAAGAGGTCATATTCCATAAAATCATAATCTTTTTTTTTGTGTGTGTGTGTGAGACAGAGCCTCAAGCTGTCCCCTGGGTAGAGTGCTATGGCGTCATAGCTCACAGCAACCTCCAACTCCTGGGTTCAAGCAAGTCTCCTGCCTCCACCTCCCAAGTAGCTGGGACTACAGGTGCCACAATGCCCAGCTATTTTTTGGTTGCAGCCATCATTGTTGTTTGGTGGGCCTAGGCTGGATCTGAACCTGCCAGCTCAGGTGTATGTGGCTGGCACCTTAGCTGCTTGAGCCACATGCACCAAGCCTAAAATCATAATCTTTATAGTTGTTCTTCTTCTATGAACCATGGCCTTGTCAATAACAAAATTGTAAGAGTTGGAATTATTGCACATCAGTCCCATTTCTTAGTCATTTGAGAGGAAATTGCTTGTGGTGTTCACGAGGTCCCACCATGCAGAGCGCAGACCTCATGCATGGGTGGCCTCCAGCACCAAGCCAGCTCATCCTAGGGCAGAGGAGTAGTTTTGAATTTGTGAAGTAAATTGAATTAGCAAAATGGTCTTTTATAGAAAAGACAAAACTCTAGGGACAGAAAGCAGATGAGATGTTGCCAGGGCTGGGGGTAACTGCAAGGAGACATGAGGGGCCTTTTTGGGGTGATGGGAATTTTCCGTATCTCCACTTCACTGGTGGTCACTCAGCTGTATATGTTCATTAACACTTGCCAAACTGTATACTTTTTTTTTTTGGAGACAGAGTCTCACTATGTCGCCCTGGGTAGAGTGCCATGGCATCACAGCTCACAGCAACCTCAAACTCTTAGGCTTAAGTGATTCTCTTGCCTCAGCCTCCCAGCTAGCTAGGACTACAAGCGCCCACCACAATGCCCGGCTATTTTTTGTTACAGTCGTCATGGTTGTTTAGCTAGACCAGGCCGGGTTCGAACCTGTCAGCCTGGGCATATGTGGCTGATGCTGTAACCCCTGTACTATGGGCACCAAGCCAAACTGTATACATTTCAAATGATTTTTTTTTTTTACCAAAACATTCAGTTGGAAAAAATTAAAATGAAAATATTTTTAGCCAGGCACAGTGACATTCACCTATAATCCTAGCAGTCTGGGAGGCCAAGGGAGGTGGATTGCTTGAGATCAGAAGTTTGAAACCAGCCTGAGCAAGAGCAAGACCCTGTCTGTAAAACTAGCTAGGAGTTGTGCCAGGCACCTGTAGTCCCAGCTACTTGGGAGTCTGAGGCAAGAGAATCCCTTAAGCTCAAGAGTTGGCGGTTGCTGTGAGCTGTGACGCCATGGCAGGCTACCCAGGGTGACAAAGTGAGACTCTGTCTCAAACAAACAAACAAACAATAAAACCAGCATAGTTGGTACCAGCAAAAGGATGACTTACTTTTACTGCATGTAGTTATACCTCAGTTTTTAAAATGATGTGCTATGCAAGTCTTTATTTAGGAACCACTTGAATCTTTTTTTTTCTTTGTTGCTTAAACACAGATGATTCACAAGTTAACAGCACGTGCTCTAATCAGAGATTATGAAGATGGTATTCTTCATGAAGATGAAACCAGTCATGAGGTTTGTTCTTTCTAAAGTAAAAACTGTTACGCATTATTCTGGATCACTCTTAAATTGATATATCTCTTGACATGTAAAGTGAGGCTGGCTAGATGAATGTCTAGCCATCACTGGTATCTGTGACATCTATGCCCAGGGCTTGGGATGCACAATACATGTTTGTTGAATGAATTAATAAAAGAAGGGATGTCAGGGTTTCCTGAGAATTCTGTGATACTTTACCCATCAGAAAGAGGCCCATCATCTTGGATCATATGCTATAGCCATCTTACTGCTGTGAAGCCCGGGTAACGGGTGGTGAGTGACCTGCCCACAGATACACAGCAGAGCCAAAGCCCGTCTGACTTCCTCCTAGGGAGGGCCTGGCAGAGGGTCCTGCTCAGCCAGCCCACCAGGATCCAGGATCATCCAGCTGTCCTCTTAGGGATTGTGGTCTTAACTGAGGTTGGGAATGTTAGTCCTCACTGCCATCCCTGGAAGGTGTCACTGTGCAGTGAAGGGCCCGGATACCCGCACAGACAGACACATTTGGTGATAAATAGCCTGGTGCTCTCACTGTTCTCCTTGAGTGCCATGGGAATAGCAGCCTTTGTCTTCTGTTTTGCTTGAGGTCCATTATACTGCACAGGTCACTAACTCTCCAATTCCTCAGCTTTAAAATGGGAGCCATAGACTATAAAAGAATGAGGAAGCTCACTGCATATGAGAGTTCTTTCTGAACTACAGAGAATTATATAATGAAGAATTCCTTTTTTGTGTGTGAGACAGAGTTTCACTATGTCGCCCTTGGTAAAGTACTGTGGCGTCATAGCTCACAGCAACCTCAAACTTTTGGGGTCAAGCAATTCTCTTGCCTCAGCCTCCCTAGTAGCTGGGACAACAGACACCTACCACAGCACCCAACTATTTTTGTTTGTTTGTGTAGCAGGCCCAGGCTGGGTTCAAACCCATCAGCCCCATTGCACATAGCCAGCGTCCTAACCACTGAGCTACAGGCACCCAGCGTTACCTTTTTTTTTTTAATGACTTAGTTATGTAATTTGATCCAATTTTCCAGGAAACATTTAGTTCTGTTTAAGACCCTTAACTCAATATTTAGTTTGAAAATTTAATTATAAAATGACTTAGTATCATAGAAAAACAGTTTTTTAGATGATTGAATACCCTTTTGAATTGTCCTACATAGGTAAATAGAAGTAAAACAGGATGTGATTTAATTTGTTTTATTCCATTTTAGATGAAGAAACAAATCTTGAAATCTGTGATTATTAAACTCAGTAAAGAAAACTCTCTCATAACACAATTCACAAGCTTTGTGGCAGTTGAGAAAAGGGTATGTATTGTTTTAATTCATAATTTAATTTAATTCATTAAATTATTTCATTTACTTTTCCACATTAAGAAAGCTACTCTTGTTCAGATGGTTAATGACGACCCCCATGCCCTGGACCATGACATGGGACACAGAGAGGCCAGCAGGCCCCATGGGTCAGCACCTCCCATTTTCTTTTTTTTTCAGTTTTTGGCGGGGCCAGGTTTGAACCCACCACCTCCAGCATATGGGGCCAGTGCATACGCCTTGAGCCACAGGCACCACCCGGTGCCTCCCATTTTCAGAAGGCCTGGTGTTGGGACTTAGGATGATGTTTCTAAATTAATTGTATGTGTTATCATTTTAGTTTAGTTTAGTTCCTTTTTTTTTGAGACAGAGTCTCACTTTTTTGCTCCAGGCTATAGTGTGGCAATGTCACAACTCAAAGCAACCTCAAACTCCAAACTTCTGAGCTCAAGCAATCCTCTTGTCTTAGGCTCCTGACTAGCTGGGACTACAGGTGCCTGCCAGGACACCCAGTTAGTTTTTCTATTTTCAGTAGAGACCAGATCTCGCTCTTGCTCAGGCTGGTCTCAAACTCTCAGGAGTTTGAGCAGTTCACCTACTTGAGCCTCCCAAAGTGCTGTGATTATAGGCATAAGCCACCTCACCCAGCCTGTGTTGTAATTATTAATTTGTACATGTATATTTTAAAGATATACTATAATTTTGATAAGTTTGTGGCACTTGTCATCCTGTATTTATCTCATCCTTAAAAAGGAAAATAAGAAAGGCCTGAGTTTCCCTTACTCTCTAAGAAGCCCTTTCTGCTTTATACATTTAAGGAAAAAATACAGGACCGGGCATGAAGGAGCATTCCTTAAATAGGAAGCCACTCAATCAAGAGGCTTCCCAGGACACAGGATTCAGTTTTATAGGCAGACATACCCAAACCAACATCAACAGGCTTTTTTTTATTATTTCTTATAGCATAACTGTGTACATTAATGCAATCATGGGGTACAGTGTGCTGTTTTCATGTACATTTTGAAATACTCTCATCAAACTGGTTAACATAACCTTCATGTCATTTTCTTAATTATTGAGTTAAAATGTTCATACTCTGTTTTTAGAAAGATTCACTTGTACCCTTGTAAGATAAACCATAGAGGTGACCCCACCAATCACCCTCCCTCCCCCCATAGACCCTCCTCACCTCCCCCTCCCACCTCCTTCCCATATTCTAAGGCTATAATTAGGTTATGACATTCCTATAAAAGCTATGAATTAGTTTCAAAGTAGGGCTATGTACATTGGATACTTTTTCTTCCATTCTTGAGATTCTTCTTTGCTAAGAAGAACATTTTCTAATTCCATCCATATAAACATGAAGGAGGTAAAGTCTCCATCAACAGGCTTTAGAATGTAGAATAATCAATTAAATGATGTCTGTTTTGATTTAACCCAATTGTGATTCAATACAGGATGATAATGAGTCACCTTTTCCTAATGTGCCAAATGTGTCTGAACTTATTGCCAAAGAAGATGTGGACCTTCTGCCATACATGAGTTGGCAAGAGGAGCACCAAGATGCTGGCGTGACAAAGGTAAATGCTGATCACCAAATAAATCTATAACATGATTGCATCTTTTCATGATGATGAAGGGAACCCTTTGCTAAAATAACTTTCTTATTACCATACACGTGGAAACTGGTTGTCTCCCTGATGATGGAGAATATTCACACATTTATAAAGGTGTGGTTGCATTACTAAAACAGTCACACCTAAATGTAGCTGTAAAGTACAAAAAGAGAACACGTATGGCTATGCTTCACTCATGGACAAATAAACTGCCATACCAGAAGCTACAGTAGTAATATGAGTATGAAATTAGAACTAATCCAAATTCACCACTAATATTTTTTAAAATTGATAATACTTTATACTATGGCCCTTATAACCAGAAACAGAAATTGAGTAATATGGCTTAAACAAAAATGAGAAAGCATATTCAAAAGCAAAAAAGCAAAACAGTACTGATAAGACCCTTAGGCTCTCCAGGTTAAAGGAATAAAATTTCCAAAATTTAAGAATTTAGATCTCTCAAAACTTGCCTTTAGGGAAAGAAAGAGAAAGAGAGAAAGAAAGAAAAGAAAGAAAGAAAAGAAATTTTTTAAAAGAATCTAGAATCTGGCTCAGTGCCTGTGGCTCAAGTGGCTAAGG